CCTGTACATGTACATGTATTTGTCGTACATGAATGCTGCGCAGCATAACACTGAATAATTACACAACCAGGTGAGTGATGCTCAGGGCTCCCCGCGCCCACCTGCGGGGGACGCTGGTACTTGGTTGGCTCCATAGAAGGTTTCAGAGTTAATTTCTGCATTTAGAAAGTTAACAGAAAGCGTGGCTAATAATATTAGTGTGGAAAGGTCGGAAAAGGAATTATAAAGCATCATTGTTTTCAAGCACATTCTACTGCTCCAGTTCCTTTCTTTTTCACAGCCTGCCTCTGCATCAAATCCCACTTCACACATCAGCCTTGCGGGCTCGTGCGAGAGTCTGTGCTGTTCTGTGCGCTTTTACTCACCCATTCACCCATTCATTAACTCCTTCATCTTCTATTTTCTCCCATTTCCTTCTTCCCCTCTTGCCAACTAATAAATCGAGTCTGGATGCTTATTATTTATTTGGAAAATATGTCTTATCTTATGTGCCTGTCGTACAAATCCTCATCACAGCTTTTCCCCAGAGATCACACCCTGCGTCTCACATGCCCCAGATTTTGAGGTAGGACTACCTGCTGGTGTCAAGCCCTGGTGTGGGCTGTACCCTCCCATTTCTGCCAAGGATTTCCATAATTAGCATCCCTACACTTCCAATGCCCTTTCTCCTGATTCCTCCACAAATACATGTGCAAGACGAGAAGTTCTGGATACAGATGTGCTTCATTTCACTGTTTTTGCCAGATTGTCCCTTAGAAGAGCTGCATTCGCTTGGCTGTTAATACCCTTACACCCTTGTAAGCTCTTATCAGGCTGTGGCTGTGTGTGTGTGTCCTGAGGTCCTCCCTCCACCTCCCAGAGCAGGAAGCAGCAAAGTAACCACTTAGCAGGAGCTGCCTCCTTTGGAGAGCTCGGGAACTCCTCAGTCCACCGCCGGCTGGTGCACGGCTTTTCCTGGATTTCTCTTCCCAATATGATGACACAAGTAATAGGTCATTCTCTTCTCAAATCTGGTCTTTTCTTGACACATTTACAATTGTGCTGGAATTGTTTCTCTGTGAATTGCCTTTTTAAAAACGAATTGCAGGGGCTGGGGATTTAGCTCAGCGGCATAAGCGCCTGCTTTGCAAGCAGGCAGTCGTGAGTTCGATCCCTGGTACCGATAAAAACGAAAAAAACAAAAAAAAAAAAAAAAAGAAAAAAGAAAAAAAAATGAATTGCAAACCTATTTAATATTTCCATTTGAGTACAGTATCTTTTATTAATTTTCATAACAGCAACCGATAGCAGACATAAGCAAGAGGCAATGTTTAATGCCTGCCACATACTAAGTCCTAGAAAAATACTGGTAAAAGAGATAAAAGGAGTAAAAATCATAAACGTCATTGTTATACATGTTTGGATATACAATAAGCTCACTGAATAGTTTTGATTAATATGATGTTTTTCATTTATGGCAAATATTAAACATAGATCGAGAAATAATGTAACAAAAATTTTGCAATACAAAGATAAGAATGTCTGAGGAGCACGCAAAGTCAGTTCTAGAAGAGAAGAAAGAATGTACATGAGAATGTCTTATGTTGATTAGTTCTCTTAAACTGTGATTACCTTAATAACCTGGTAATTGATTTTTAGGATTTTCTATTGTCGTTGTAGTTATTTTATAGTTTTCTTTTTTTTTCCCTTTTTCTGATGTTCCCAACTTCTGAATTTAAGATTTAAATAAGTCCTATCATCACTGTTCTTTGACAAAAGCCTAGATCTTGTCTTAGCTTCTGACTAAGGGCCTATTGCAACAGGACCTCTCTGTGAAGAAGACAAAGGGACATCTGTGATTCTCAAATTAAAACATTGTTTAATATACACCTGGGAAAATTTTTTTTTCTGGTACCGGGATCAAACTCACAACTGCATGCTTGCAAGGTAGACGCTTATGCCACTGAGCTAAATCCCCAGCCCCTACACCTGGGTAAAATTTAAATACTAGGAAAATATAAATGCTATGTAGAATGCTAAATAGTAGATATAATCTTCTAGGCAATCATTCTAAAAACCAGTATAAAATGCTATTTAAGGTGAGAAATGCATTCACATTTATTAAATTATAAAATATTAGTTTTTTAGATTTCAGAATATAATTTTCAACAAAATTTTGCATGCATTTTATATTATTCATGGAAGTTTATAATTAATAAATATATTTCAAATATTTGCAAGTCAGTATCATGCTGATTTTATTCATTTTGCTCAAAAGGGCCTTACTATTCATGGTATTTTGCAGTTGCATATGAATTTTAGGATTGGGGTTTCTAGTTCTGTGAAGACTGTGACTCTTGTCTTGATAAGGATTGCACAGAATCTGTCAGTGGCTGTGGGTAGTTTGGATGTTCCTGTAATTTTTGATATACATGAACATAAGGTTTCCGTGTTCTGCTATCCTCTCTAATTTCTTTCATAAATGTTTTATAATTTTCATCTACAGGACTTTCACCTCATTGGGTAAATTTATTCCTAGCCATTTCTGAAGCTATTTTAAATAAACTTGCTTTCTTGGTCGCTAGTTCAGTTAATTTGCTGTCGGCATAGCATAGTGCTACTGTTTGTGTATTGACTTTGTGCCCTGCAGCTTTGATGAATGTATTTATCCTAAGGTTTTTACAGAGTCTCCGGGGGCCTTCCGTGTGTATGAGATCTTGTCATCTTTAAGCAATGAGACTGCTTCTTTTCATACTGAGATGCGCTTTGCATCTCCCCCTTGGCTGTTCTGACCAGAACATACCCACAGTTTAATGAGGGCAAGGGAGCAGGCATGCCCGTCTCTCTCCAGACATTAGAAAAGTTCAGGTTTTCCTGCTTGGTACAATGGCTTTCATTAGGTTGAGAAACAGTCCCACTGTCCCTGCTCTTCTTGATCGTGAAGGGGTATTGAACAGTATTAAGTGCCTTTTCCTTCATTCTGCTGATGCGTTGTATCAAATATTATTGTTGAAATCACGGGGTATTTAATTCTTACTGCCTATAAAATCACTTTGTAGAATAAATACAGAGTGCTCTGTATATTCCATTCACAATTTAGTGTGGTTCTTATGGGATTCGTAGGTGACTAGTGGTAAGTATGAAGTAATTCCGTGTCAGTGGTTCTCTTCCCGGGGGAATCTCATCATGCCTGGGCCAGGACAGGAGAACCCACAGAACCTTTCGAGCTGCAGCTGGCGTGAGAACAGGTGCAGCAGGGGGTCCTGGCTGCCAGCCGAGGACAGTGCTGGCAGGTGGTTCATGGTGGTAGATGCGGATCTAGATAGGATTCTGGCTCTCGGCATAATTTTTCAGTAATTTTTGAATTAATGCTAATAGTTTTTATTTTATGACTAGGTACATATTTCCTTTCACTGGATAATTACATTTTTTTCAACTTGCTCTTTATGTTGGATGTAAAAACTTGAACAACTAGATTCACGGAAAAAGAATGAAAATCTACAACTGTTTCTCTGCAAAGAACATGCTCCTGCAGAAATATGACAATGCGATTTCTGAAGTGTAACAGGACTAATTTGTTTTAATTCAAAGTCGTCTGTTTATAAATGTACTTTCCCCCCAACCTTAAAAAAAAAGTGCTTTATTTTCCTCTTTCAGTGCTGCATGGTTTTCTTTAGAGGTGTTGTCACTGTTTGTTATATAATTTTCCTGTTTTATATGTACAACAGCCTGGGATTGTTGAGATAAACCGTAAGGCTGCCTGGAGATAAAGTTTTCATGGAGTAAGGTATAAAGGATTGTTTTCTGCGTGTGTTCCCTGAGCCTTTGTGACTTCTGCTGCTGCTTCCCTGTGGTGTAAACACATTTCCCTCACTGGGTTGCGCTGGCAGCGTGCTTTCCAGTGTGTTTCCTGGAAGACCCCGCAGACCTCATTTAGAATTTCCCAGCAATCTAGACGTGGGCAATAAGGAACTTCACACAGGGAAAAGCACACTGAAAGCTCAATTGCTCAATAATGACTAATTTTTCCGAAATTATACTATATTTATGGCATACAGACATTTTTCTCAGATAAACTTATTCATATTCACAAGTATTTGGCACAGAGTTGGATGATATCCTCTACTTTTATCCAGATCACATGCCCACGTCTTCGGACCATGGAAGTCATGCCAAACTTGTGTCTAAATTATTTTGAAGCTCATAACATAAACCAAAGAGACTAGATGTAACATTTTTAAATATTGTGTTATTATTCTATTTTTGTATAAAACTATCTCTTTAGACAGAGCAGAAAATGAAATGCTCTGGCCAGGCCAGCTGCCTAACTTACGGGACTCAGTACAAAATGAGAATGTGGGTGCTTTGTTCAGATATTGTTAAAAATGTCACGATAGCAACAGCAGACCATGACACCAAGCACCAAGCCAGAGTACACAGGGCCTGCGCCCCGCAAGGGCACAACCCCGCTCTTCCTGCAGCTCCCTCCAGAAGTGTCTGCCATGCAGTGAGAGAGAATCTCAAAATGCATTGTATTTAATCTGGACAGACAAAAGGTACCGAATCTGCAGAGGGGGTCTCGCCAGGAAGTCTTGATGGATGCATTTTTCTGATAAAATGTTTTCCATGATAAAGTATGGAAGTTTGCACTCTTCTAAGAGCTTGCTCTCTGAGGGAAAATTCTACTGGTAGCAGAATGACTGGGTGTCTTCTGTGCAAAATTGCTCTCAGCAGTATAAATCAATACTGCATTCTTTATAGATGTGTGAACACAATGCATGTGTTTGACAATATTTAATAAGTTTTCAGAAGCAAACATTTGCATGTTATATTCACTATATTTTGTGTATTCAGGTAAGTTGATGATGTTAAACTTCATAATGTTCCAGAGGGCTTCGAGTGGATTTTCTCTGCAATGGTGCACAGTGCTGCCTTTGAGGGGCAGAGGTATCTCCCATTTCCTATGAACCCAGAGCAGAGGATGCACATGTCTGACTTTATTCTCCAATTTGTCTTTGCAGGGATGCAAGTACTGGAGTGGAACGGCATTCCCTTAACTTCTAAAACATATGAAGAGGTGCAGAGCATCATCAGCCAGCAGAGTGGGGAAGCAGAAATATGTGTAAGACTGTGAGTTTTTCCCCATCTTTCTGTTTCCATTTTTTGGCTATTCATGGCTCTTTTGATTTAAAATTGTTAAGGTGGAACCTTTGCCAGGCAGCAAGTTGTTCGGCAATTAGAGAATGAAGTGAATACAAGGTTTATAGATTTCTTGTGTTCAGAATCAAAGACTAAAGCATAGACAGAATCCAGCTGACTTAGTTTCTGAATACGTCAACAGCCCTCTTGCTTTCACTGTTTATTGAAACATGCTTCATTTAAATGAAAGCCTGAACCCACTTAGATTTCACGGATGTGTAGAGCATTTCAAAATGAACTTACATTTAACCCATAAAGATTTCACCTTAAATGTCATCTTTATCAGCTCTGACTTTTAACAGCATTGCGAATATCTACTGGGACACAAGGGTGAGCATGCTTTGGAGTTGCTTTTATCATAACCACTTCTCATTTACCTACTGAAAACAATCAGGGTAGTTGGAAGAAAGCGCTCTTTCTCAGGCTTCCTCAATTCCTTAATGTTTTGTCTTGATTCTCAGGGATCTCAATATGCTCTCAGATTCCGAGAATTCCCAGCACCTGGAACTGCATGAGCCACCCAGAGCCGGTAGGTGGCTGCATTTGCTTCCCATCGTGGATGAAGGTCCACATCCAGGCATGGTTTAGAGGCAGATGCAGCTGTGAATGAATATACACACATAAACACAGTCACAGACAAGGGAGTAGATTTGCATGTGTTTGTATAATTGTGAACATGACTGAAAGCACTGTAGCTATATTTTAGCATTCTGAGGAAACATTTGTGTGTGAGGCTTGATAAGGAATTCATATTAAGTTCAGGTTTTAATGTTTTAAATATTAACCCATCCTGTGAAAGTGACCCAGGGAGCCACGTCTCTTTGGTCTTGCATAGTTTTAGTGGCTACTCCTTACCTTTCAGCAGAACCACACTTTTCTTTCTTGTGGCTTGAGTGAGGATTCGGAGGATGATCCCAGTGCCTGGAGCGTGCTGGGCTGGTGCCCATCTCAGAGCTACGCCCCAGCTGAAACTCAGTTTCAAAATTTTATTCCTGTGCTTTTTGATTGTCTTTCCATCAATGCATGAGTTCATAAGTTTATGATGAAAAGACGTAAATCTCTCTTAGATAATAAATACAATCTACACATTGATTAGATCAATTATAAGATTTTAAATGTCACTTTTTCCTTTATTTAACTTTTATGGAACACTTCCTGCATGACATAGAGTCTGGGTCACTGCATGAAAAAACACAGGCCAAGGCCTAGGGGGATTTTAACCCCTGAAATGGAAATGGACTCGAGACTCTCCCCAGCGCAGGGGCCAAGCGGTCCACCTGCTTGTGCGTCCCAGAGGGTGAGCAAGACACTGTATCATCCACACAGTTCTGCACTAAACATTAAAAGCACCCTTCTGAAGGCACGGCCACCAGAACTCCAGACACCCCCTGGCTCCTCCTTCAGCCACTCTTCTCTGGCCCTGATCCCCTTACAGTCCATGAAGCTCGTTTGAGTGTGTAGCTTAGTTTATTGGTAACAGTTTGCCTCCATCACCTAGAACTCCGGTGAGTTCCACGGTGTCAGCCCAGGCCCGCGAGGCATGTGAGCCCTCCCTGTTGTTGCAGTGGATAAAGCCAAGTCCCCAGGTGTGGACCCCAAGCAGCTGGCCGCCGAGCTGCAGAAGGTGTCGCTACAGCAGTCGCCGCTGGTCCTGGCATCCGTCATGGAGAAGGGGTCGCACGGCCACTCAGGTCCCGCGTCCGCGGGATCCAGCTCTGTGCCCAGCCCCGGGCAGCCGGGGTCTCCGTCCGTGAGCAAAAAGAAGCACAGCAGCGGCAAGGTGAGAGCGCACCTCCGAGTTCTCACCCAGGCCAGAGACGGGAGATAAAGAAGGTTTCTCCAGCACTGGCTGCAGGGTTTCTCATTCCTGGATCATGCAGGGCAGCAAACACCATCCCTCCTCTTTTGACTGCTTAACTGATCAAGATGTATCAGGGATGTATTACAATATCTTTTAAAATATTTCACGTTATTTTTATGGGACGTTAGAGAAATGTGTCTGATATTTCCTATTTTCTGGTTAATTTTCTTGGTTGTGTCATGAAGCTGAGCTACTTTATGTATCCGATATTATTTTTGTGTGTTTTGAAGATATACACATTACATTAGATACTATAATTTGAGAAAAAGAAAAGAAAAAGTACATATAGAATTTAGGACAACAAAAATCGGGGAAACCCAGTGACACAGTGTTACCATTTTGAATTTTATCACCAATTCCACACTGAGCAGTTTCTTTTTTCATACGCATCTTCATTTGAAATGACTGTTTCCTGTGCCATGAGGTTGAAGATGCTGGGGGATTAGAAGGAACATGGGATTAATGTTTAATCCCAGAAAAGCACTGACAGTGAGAGAGTTTTTAACTGTGTAGTGGTGTGACTGCGTGGGAGGCACCGCTGCTCTCCTGCTCAGATGTCAGCCTGTCTCTCCGGGGCCTCTATTCCACCCACCTGGGGGCCATCAAGTGCTGCTCCTCGGAGGGTTATCGCAGTGAGCATCACGTTGTCAGCCTTTCCCGGGAGCCTTGTAGGAAGTCCGCAGTGCACCAGGGCTTCCAGCTCCCTCTTGTTTTCCACAGCCTCTTTCCTGTGCCATTTCCACTGCAGGGATCACAACCTACAGCCCAAACACAAAGGTAGGAAAATCCCACCCTCCATACCAGGTGGACCAGTGGTTCCCGGTCCACCAGCATCAAGGTTCGCCCGAGACTCACTTGGCATTGTCTTCCACATCCTCCCAGGCGCATAGTTGAAAAGCTTAAACAGAAGATTAGCAAAATAAAATAAAGCATCACTGATCACTTGCGAGTCTCCATAGCATTATGGGAACTCAAAACTGACTGAATGTAATTTGTTAACTTTTTGGACAACATTAAACAAATGATAGTAACAGGTTTATGATAGGCACTAATTTATTTCTATGCCAAGAATGTGGTCCTGTGTCATTTTACAGTGGTTTTTGTAAAAAACAAAACAAAACAAAACAAAAAAGTGACAGCGCCATACTGCTAAGTGGAAAATAATGATATATCAAGTCTATTCCTTGACATATTCTTATACTAAGATAATTTACTTGTAAGTAGCACTAATTAATTAATAATACTTTAAATAAGTGCTCTGAAGTAAGTGTGGGTAAAATAGGAAACTAAACATTCTAAACAAGTATTCAGACTGATAGTTTGCAAAGTGTCTAGCAAATATTCTTTCACCCTTCATAGTTTAGAATATCCATAAAATATGCTTACTATGGAGCAGGACAATTGAAAATCATCCAGAAGTAAATTCTCCTCATTACATGTCAGTATATTTACATGACCTCATGACAAAGGTGCCACAGTTCTCAAAAAGCAATCAAAAGGAAATAATTTACCAATAACTTTTGCTTCATTTGGGAGGAGTGGCCCTATTTTTGAATTCTCATATTAGTTATACCTTGACCATTATGCATTAAGACACAAAGATTTCTCTTATTGGAAATCTTCCAACACCTCTGATGATTATGAATTACTGTTCCTCCTCTGTTCTGAGGATCACTAAGTCTGTGTCTCCTTCCCAGACCGTGTTTTGATTTCAGTCGCCCAGTGTCTGTCTGTGCCCCTCGCCCCACTCAATCTTTCCTGAGCACTCAGTGTTCTGCCCTGCTGCTCTGAGACTAATGTCATGGTCCTCCACCAGGGAATGAGGACTTGCACATTTGTCTTTCTGTGCCTGGCTAAGTGCTAAACTCCTCCACACAGCCATGGAATTGTGTGCCAAGTAAAAATTTTAAAGATAGCGTAAATAAAAAATAATAATTTGAATAACATGCATGGGTGTCTGAGTTGAGGAAACTCCAAATCTTGAGTCAAAAAATAAATAGTTCCAAGAATTGTTGTGGATCTTTTATTTTTCTCTAGATTCAATTTCTTTGTCTGATTTTAAACAGTAATGTAATTATGAAATGAAAGTTATCCTTCAACAACTAATGAGCAATTTACCCTTGAAAGCCAGAGCACAGTTTTGGTATTGATAAATGCCACATTTTAATAAATGAGCTGAACTAATAAAGGATACATGACTTAGAAACCTTAACCTCTACTCCTATAATTTTATCAACAATTACATCGACTTTATTACTGAATTAACTAATGAAACATGAGTTGGATGAAAATTCTCTTGACTGCTTTCATTTCTGAAATAAAATAAGAGAGAAGAGATAATTAACAAGTGTATCAAAATAAATATGGATATTTGTATTTTCCATTAAATTTCTAAAAATCCAGTGTTGCATGCATGAATATTGATAGGTTTTATGTGCAGAGCAGCAAGGTAGTCACCACTTTTGTACACTTGACCTCTACACTGATGTCATATTGTCCAAAATTCTGTTACAGAACTGGAGCCTGGGGCAGGTCTTTCATATTGTGTGATATTCTCGAGGAAATGTAGCAAGTTAACAGCAAGCAGTCATTTATTCAGCAGTGTGAGCTAGCTTACCCGACTACTTCCTGACAGTTTTACTCTTCAAAGGAACATAGCTAGAAAAGAAGGGATAGGGACCAGTCCTATACCAGGGCTCCACTCTGAAGGGGAAGTAGGGATTAGCCCACCTCACAACAGAGAATGAGAAAAAACTTTTATCACACCTCAGTTCTCCTGGGAAGTTCTCAAACAAAAACTCTTTCATTACTCTGTAGATCTTCAAAACCTTTAAGTATTTCAATGAAGTACGTTAAGCCAACAGTGTTCATTCTTGTAAGTAATTGAAAAACAATCCTGATATAGAAGTATAGCTTCCTCGCAGACTTAACAAACAGAAAAATAGATTTATCTATAAATTTAATGATGTATTGCAAATTATAAGCAGATACTATTATTCTGAAGCAACAAAACAGATGAATTGTATTTTTCAAGCACTGCTCCAATCAAATGGAAATTCATTTCAGAGAAAAGTTGAAATGATAAATTCCACGAATAGTGTATCTGTTAATGTAACATGTACCCTTTAATATTTCAGCCTACTGATGCAACAAAGGTTGTCTCTCACCCAATTACTGGAGAAATTCAGGTATGACAGATTTTTAAAAGCTCTCGTTCTGCCATCTTTTTTTATTTCCTTTTGCTCTGGTTTATTTAAATTGTAAACAAACAGCTAGAATCTTCTTCCCTAACACATATGTAATTATAAAGGCAAGTGCAGTTTTATAGGATAGTATACAAATATATATATACATGTTTTATAAAATCTAAACATAGCTATGGAATTCTATATCTTGAAACTAGTCTGATTCCTTACCACTGTCAATACAATTTGTACTTAAATTACTGTACGTTTGTTGAATTGGTTTCAACTATGACAGGTTATCTGAGAAATATGAAGATTCCTTTTGAAATTTCTTGAAATATAATGCTGTTGTGTAATTGCTAAAAAGCAGGCAGTTATTATAAATAAGTATTTTTCATACTTAGATCACAGATTTCTAATTCATGAAACCAGAAAATTTTGACCAAGAAAATAATAATAATAGCATAATTATATCACTTTTAGTTCTGTTTGTGTTTCTGTATGATGTTTCATAAAGATTTATTAGTGTAGTTCATAGTAAAAAGTATTAGAAAAACTACTTTCAGTGACAGCAGACATGTTGCAACAGAAAATGAACCTTCCAACTAGTATATCTCAGGTAATAGCTGCTGTTCCAGTTCTGTTTGCTCCTGGCCTCTTGGAAATGGCTGGTCACTGTGATGCATATTTAGGAGCCAATCCCCAACTGACAAAACATTCTGCCTCTGTACTTCCTAACTGATTATCCCATATAAACCCTAGACCATGATAAATGAGGGCCTGATATTCTGGGAATCATTATGATCAGCTCCTAGTGATACAAATAAATCTGCCTCCAAATCCTGGATGCATTTTGGAGTTTCTGCTTTCCACTGCATCTGGTGTGTCAGCCAGGAAAACGGACTGTGCTGACTTCTTTGGTTACCAGTCATGGCTCTTGTGGATGCAGTAAGGACCTCTCCAGGTCCTGATGGAAGGGTGTGCCCTTGAGATTTCTCCAGTCCCCTTGGAGGTCTGGAGGAGGGTTCCCGGTTTCCCACTCAAGCAGCTCACATTGGACCCCAAAGGGAGGAGGATGCAATCTGTCTTTCTGTCTGCCCATCTGTCTGTCTGTCTTCTTGATTCTGGTAAGACCTTCAGGGCACCCCAGTTAGTCAGTCCATCATTCCTGCTCAGTTAGAATAGAAGAAGAACTTGATGGACTCTTGTTAGATAAGGCTACCCTCAAGGAAAAGAAGGTTGAGATATTTAGCCTCTCAGTGCCTAGTAAGTAAGTGTGCGAGTGGAGTGGACAGCATAAGTAATAGGCTGCTCCATCTGTGCACCAAGACTGGAAGCGGTGGTTGCATGGGTTGATTGGGCCCTCACTTGCAGTTCTGTGGAGATCACGGTATGGCATAGTGAAGGCCTCACACCTTCCTTACCTAAGTCTCACCTAAGTCCCCATGAAGGGTATGGCCAGGCAGGCATCTGAATGGTCTCTTCCTGAGGGGCACCTTCCCTTTGCCTGTTGTGCCATCTTTCAAGGGTACAGAACACACATATAGGAAGTCAGAAATGAGAATTAATTAGTGAAAACCCACAGTCCCCACAGGAAAATAGGTTTTTACAGAGTTAAAGATGAAACCAAGCTGCCCCTTCTGTCTCTTTGGCTGCTGCAGCTGCTGCCAACAGTTTAGTCCCCCATGCCCAACTCATCTACTTCCAGCCAGTTGAACGGATTCCAGCTGGCCAATGCCTGCATTTGGCCTTAGAGGACCCCTGCACCTTCTGATTCACAGCTACACCTATCTCGATCAGATTGCATCATCTAACACCCGTGAGATGACTGTCAGCAATTCCAAGTTCTGTATATTAACTGAGGAAAACTTGAACTGTCAGCCATGACACATGAGTTGTGCCCTGTTGGGCATATACAGATAGGACAGACCAAGCTCTATCAAACTGGGGCCCTGAGAACCTGCTGTCATTGCAAAAGTGGGATCAAACCTGCAACTTTTCCTGGTAGGCACAAAATTCTGTGCCTTCAAAAGCTCACTCTGTCAAAAGTTTATCATCACTGGGGTAACTGGGACTCTTGTCTTTTGTCCCTTCTGACAAGTACCAACTTGAAGCCCAGGGGAACAGACAGCTTCACCCCAGTCCAGTCCGCCTTCTGTCATTTAGCCCTCCACATTCAACTTTTGACTGTTCTCCAAGAGGAAAATGATGCCTGCACCAGCCAGAGGCAGACAACCACAGTCCTGAAGTTCTGAGAACTCTCCTCCCAGAAAAGAGAGGCCACTGGACCTGCACATCAACCATGCTGCTTCACCAAGACCCCCACTGCTGTCAGATGTGGAAAAAACAGGCAGACTTCCAGCTACAAATTAACCTGATAGACCATTAATTAATCGTCCTTGGCAAGTCACTTGCCACAAAGATTAAGAACTTTCCCACTGTTTGGGGGGAGGCTCTAATGACAGATTTGTTCACGCCACCAGCATCTTTTCTTTGACGTTTCTTTGTGCCTCCCATCTCTGCTGCAGTGCCCTGAGCCAACAGCATAGACTGTCAAATTGGTAAAACACACATCTCCTGCCTGTAAAGCCTGTTCAAGATCTCCCAGCTGCCAGTGCCACCATGATTGCCCTCCATATGTGTCACCTCAGTCTTCATCCCCCACAGGCTGCTGGTATACCTGCTTGGACCTAAAGAATGACTTCTGCCTTCAATTGGCTCCTGTCAGCCAGGCCCTCTTCACAAAGACCACAGCTCCAGACTCAAAGGTTAACTGACCTGGACTCAACCTCTCCAAGATTCAAAAACTTGTTTCCACTTTGAAAAAGCACTTCTGATTAATGATACTCAAGCAGCCTGCTGAAAAGACACAAAAGCTCTGCTACAATATCTGGCAGAAATTGGCTACAAAAAAGAAACTCCACAAATTCCTTGGAGCTGCTGGCTTCTCTAAAATCTAGATCCTTGAGTTCACAGAAACAATGATGTTTACTGAGAGTGTCAGCCACTGGGAGCACCCAGTCGCCTATGTGCAAATACTTGGATCTAGTAGTGAAGAGCTGCCTCCCGCTTTGTCTCCACCATCTAATAGCCCTGTCTTTCTGATCGAGAAAGCTGATGAGCTCTCCATAGGCCAACACCTAACTGCCCAATCCCAAGTGCTGTGCTGGGCTTCATCCAGTACCAAGGACTCATATGCAAAAATCCCCACCTGACCTTTGTAGCGACAAAACCACTCAATCCTGCCTCATACCAGCCCACAGCGCTGGCCAGATTGTCTGGCATTGACTGATACACTGTTCTTGAGCTGATCAGAGTTAATAAATAAACCTCCACTGACAGATGCTGAGTGCACCCTGTTTATGGATGGAATTAGCTCTGTTGGGAATGCAGTCCAGCAAGCTAGATATGCCGTGGTCTCCTTGGACAAACTATTTGGGCCAAAACTGTCCTGCAGGAAGGATCTGCACAGCAAACTGCTTTCTGCTGCTGTTTGGAAACCTGCCACCAACAAGGCGAAGTTACCTAATCCAGAGGCCCAACCCCTCAGGGTGGGGGTGCGGTCCCTCTTAAGGAAAGACCTGAAGTCTGAGCAGACTCCTATTGGTATTGTGTCTGGCACACAGCTCCAACCTCCCCACTGCCCCCCTTCTCTGAGGAGATCTCAGTGTTCCCTGCCTTTGAGGAAAGGCAGGGGCACTCCAGGCTTTCTGTACTGGGTCAGGCAATTAGAGATTCATTTCCTGCCAGGAACCATAACCAAGTGAAAATTATGCTAGAATCATCTTCATCATACATGAAGGTTTGACTCATTTAAATTACCCTGTTCCAACCTAAGCAGTGCATACTCACCATTTACAAACTTAATATTTTTATCTTTGGATTTCCTCTCTGAAATGTAGATCTTCCTGCTTCTAATAGATAGAGACAACAGCAGAGAGAAGCCTGGCTTATTTTAAATGATGCCAAAAGAATCTTGTAGTTATGAAGAGAAAAATTAGTTAGCTTGCGGTATTGGGTTATGCACTTTTCAAATATACATTGGAGTCGTAAGTCTTCCGCTATCCTGGGAGTGTGCCGTGGTCCACAGTGTCTCTGAGCCTTTTCTTCAGCTTCTACAGCTGAAGAGTAGAACTGTATCAGCCCTGTCTCCCACACTGCAGGAGAAACAGGGTCAGAGACAGTGGCAACAAATTTAACATCGATGGCTGTAAAGGAGGAAGCAGTTAATCTACACATTCTTAGCTAGTTTTACTTTTCAGTGTGGCAGCTGTGCTTGCATAACTACCCAGCCATGGCTAATCCTTGGGTGAAATGAACCTGGCATAATCTATTTTCCAATAACCCCGTTGATTTCCACAGTCCTGATAATTGTGATATGAACAGGTACTCTTTTCAGAAGAATAGAAGTTTACTTTAAATATGACCTGCATTCACTGTGTGATTTTCTTACAGACTGATCTTTAAAGAGGCCAAAATATTTCACTGTGGAAGGATCTAGCAGCATGTTTACTAGAAATTAAAATCTACCCAGAGCTTCCAATTGAATTAGACATTCACTGGTCTGTTCAGTTTCAAATAAAATGGAAATGAGGGCTGACACTTAGACGGCTGTAAATACAACCGTAGTAAAATGTCAAATGATAATGTGGTACTTTTATTTTTTTTAAATTATGGACTACGTTGCTGTTGCCTAAAGCTTCAAATCAACTATGACCTGGGAAATCTCATAATACACATTCTCCAAGCAAGAAACCTCGTGCCTCGAGACAACAATGGTTACTCAGACCCTTTCGTGAAAGTGTACCTTCTCCCAGGCCGAGGGTAAGGAGAGAAGCGGGGTGTGTTTGTGAGAGTGGGGTGCTGACCTCTGCAAGTTCAAAGCCTGCCTCAGCCACTCACGGCCTTTCCCTCAGCCTTCACCGCAGGTCACATTCTTATTTATTGGTAGATAAGGTGGAATGAACAGTCTGTGATTAATCCTGAAAGAGTCCTGGAAGAGCTGCGATGTAGTAAAAAAAAAACTTAACAGGAAGCCACTTCCCTAAGGCCTAGTCAGAGGGGCGGGAAGAAAGCAGCCGTGGCAGATTTAAAGAATTTGCTTAATTCTCAAATTTATTGGAAAGTCAATTTTTAGCTGCTGTTCATTGTATAGGACACGTGTGCTACCTGATACATTTGAGCTCTTTAAACCGCTAGGTAACGCACCCATATTTATATGCATCTTTCCAAATCAGGGCTTAAAGCCTCATAGTAACATGAGCAGTACCTGCATGAAAATCATCTCTGCATCTCTTGTGTGACACATAAATGGCTGACATGAAGCACGAGCTCGGGGCTAGGCATGTACTTTACTGATACAGCATGTACTTAGCATGTGCTTAGCATGTGTGTGGCCCTGAGTTCATTACCACCACCAAATTAAACAAATAAATAGCAGAGGCGTGCTCTCTGGGGATGTCTGATTTCCTGTCGTTAATGCTAACTGCTATGTCCTGGTATGTAAATCAGCATTTAATAATGGCTTTAAACAGTGGTTTGGCCCCTGAACATCTGAATTCTTTATCTGAACAGCTCGTGTTAGCCAAACTGGCTGAGACCACATGTGATCAGCAGACGAGGGGCACTGTAGGGAGGCCTGGGTTATACGTTGAAGAAATTCGTTCTATTTTTCCTTCATTTCTCTTTGAATTTGGGGAGAGACATTTAAACATTATTTTTCCCCGAAAAGCTCACTTATGTACACAGAAGCGGAGAGAAGGGTGGGCAGAAGCACCCTGCTCCCTGCCGCTCCGCAGGAGTTACCACCCACCAGCCAGCTGTGCTTCCCTGTCGCCCTCACCCACACCCGCTGCGGCATTCTGGAGTAAACCCCAGCTACTGTAACTTCTGTGCAGTTGTTTCAGTGTACAGTATTTCTAAAAGAATGGCTCATTTTAAAATGGTTCTAATATCATATATAACCATAATACTCTTCATACTTACATATGATGTCTTAATTTTCCCAGTGGTTTCATAATGTGTCCCTAGACAGTTTGAGTATAGAATTAATGGTTCCAGCACATACTACCCATCAGCAACAATGTTCATATTCCTTGCAAGTACGCACAGAGTATTCCCTAACATGCTGTTCCAGCTATAAAACAGATCCCAAGTGTGAAAATGCCGGTCACACAGAATGTGTTCTCTAGCTGTGGCCTTTCAGTCCAGGAGGACCCAGGGGTGAGTCCCACCCTGAACTTGCCTAGTTATGCCACTCCGGAGCCGGACCCACTGCTTTGAGACTCATCTTCCTGGTGTCCACTCTAAGGCAGTTAAAGAAGAAAACTAATTTTTAGCTTGTCAGAAGAAACGAACTGTATAATATTTAGAAAATCATTTGAAAATTTCTAGGTGCTAGTTCAAATTCAGTATAGAGGCTTTAATTCCATTTTTCCTAATAATTACATTTAGAAACTCAGGATTGTTTGTATGATAGCTCTAGTTTTAATCTATTTTATTAAGGTCTCATGAATTTTATATAGTGTTTACCCCTAGCCACATAACCCAAGAAAAGAGATCCTTTGTTTTATGTTAATTTATACATTTATGTAATTGTGGATATAACTTGGCTACATCTTTTAAAGTGAATGTAACAAACATAACAGCAAGCCAAATTTCATTCTGATTTTGGTTTCCCTCATTAGATTTTTAGTATTATTTAATGACAGCATTAGGAAATCACTGCCAAGGGTTGGTCTCTAATTAGAATTTTTAACTAGTAAATGAATGAAAATAAATCACTGTTACCTATTTTCTGTCCCCTCTAACAATGTACTACAGTACCATCTTTTATTCTACATGAGAGTAAGCAACTTCTTTCTGCCAGATATATGTTAATTGGAGTGTTATGAACTTCCAAAACCAGAAAACACAGGCAGGTGACATGAATGTCAGTCCACTCCGTGATAAGTAGCATGGAAAGGTGAGAACACAATGACACACACAGGGAATTCCCCCCCTAACGCTGGCCTCACGCAGATGCACCCTCATGCAAAGCATCCCTGGTGTGTGGGTTTAGTTTAAAGACAACTCCTATGCGGCTAGTACTGAATTCATAATTCTTTCATTAAATTGCTCTTAATTATTACAGTGGCCAAAGCCCTGGGATTGGTTGTACTTTGAGGCATTATTCTCACATAGTTCTAAAACCGTCTTCTGCTCCATGCCATTTATATGCTGTGGAATAGCTCCTCTAATTTGTATTCTTGTATTTCCCTCCTTCATCCCATTCCTAACATTGTTCTTCCTGTCTCTCCCACTTTCCTGTTGTATCCTTCTCTCTCGCTCTTGGAATCAATGCAGTCAAGTCATGGTTGTCCAGAATGCAAGGTAGAGTTGATTCTTTTCCAGTGTCAAGTTACAATGTTATGCGTAGAGTTGCACTTTTTGTATATTTATGTATATTGATCTGCAAATTAACCTGGTCTTTAACTTATTTTTCTGAGATTTAATGTCTATTGAACCAAGTCTACAGTAAATCCTTCTGACAACATTTTTAAATGGCTTTAGTAGGTGTGTGCAATAGGATACAGAACAATAGAAAATATTTTAAAAGTAGAAAAGATGCATGTGGACATGTCATCCTGAATTAGACATTACTAATATTATCATTTACAATCCGTCCATTCAATCTTATTTTGTTTTTCAACTGAAAATCATGGCTTGAATTCTTATGGCTCTTTTACTACAAAGAAAAGTATGTAGAGCCCTTTCTTAAATGGAATGAACTGATCTGGATATCCAGTAGTAGATGTGTATCCATATTAAACACGGTGAATGTCTGGTGTTTTTCCCTCACTGGAATCCGATCTCAGAACACATTCATGCCTTACACTGCACCAGGATTTATCGGTAGGCAATGTGCAATTCCATGTCACAGTGCAGTGGTCAGGACACAGGAGTACCCGCCTTGTTTCAATACTAGGAAGCTGATTTCTGCTATATAAGCCATAACGTGTTGCCTTATTACCTTACCCACTGAGGTTATTGCTTACTACATAGCCAAAAGCATTATTTTGCACATTTGGTGCATGTTAATTAAACACGTTATGTAGTGGGGAAGGCTAATTATGTACCATGTAGCAATAGGGTGAGGAGAATTCCAATTCCACCCCGATTATTACTGGTTCAACATTTGTTTTGTCTGTGATATTAAAGTATGATGTGTTTATTAATCCTGACAAGCTGTTGCCCACAAGAAGATGCTTCTGATTTTTAAAGGTGTAAATATTTACGTACTGTCAACAACAGGAGTATGGCCACAGCTCTGCCCGTGCCCAGAATCATTTCTCTGCCTTGCAGCCATAGAACCGTTGCTGTGAACTTTAACTTAGCAGTGGTCTCTTGTGTCTGACATGCTTCTCACAGGACACAAACCACAGGTCTTGACCTGATTTATGAAATTAGTTCATTTCAAAGAGATAATGTTGTTTTAGAACAGACATTATCAATCACCTTATTTGGAATTTCCCTGGCTTTTATCTCGAGAAACTAAGGAACATTTTCAGGATGCCAATTGCCTGCCTGTCTTTAATAACAGGTGGCATCAATGTACATAATGACTGAATGAATCTGGGATGCTTTGGACCACAATCTGGAAGCTCTAGAAGTCACCATCGCATCTAGCAGTAGCTTTCTCAGTGCCGTAGGGAATCATTAATGCGACAGGGAATGACAGGGTGTTGAAAGTGTAACTCAGCCTGTGGAGTGCAGTGAACAGTCTAAGAATTTGGGTTTTAATTCAGTCCTGCATCTTGGAAAATACGAGATTGACCTAAAACTAGTTTGTTATTCCTGCAAACTAAGAACAGTAATAACCACCTTCACAGATGTGTGTGTGTGTGTGTGTGTGTGTGTGTGTGTGTGTGTGAGAGAGAGAGAGACAGATAGACAGAAAGAGAGAGAGAGAGAGACAGACAGACAGACAGAAGAGAGAGAGAGAGAGAGAGAGAGAGAGAGAGAGAGAGAGAGAGAGAGTTTGAGTGTGAAATGCAGAGGTTTATAAGCCAAAAGTGATAAGGGGAGTTAGTGTCTGGTGTCTGATAAGCTTTCAGTAAATGCCATTGCTATTATTGTGCCAGTGACATGTATAATTTTCACATAGTCACTGGTCAGTTATTTCTGCAAAATTGAGAAATGGTACACTTAGGCTACTTACATCAAATTAGCAACAGAGTAAAGAGACTGAAATAACTTTAATAGCAAAAGATAATACATTTGAGTCAGAATTTAACAGAGCTGCTAAGTAATAAACTGCAGGGGCCCAGTCTTCTCATCCCCTTTCATCTCCTCTCCTGCCCTCTGAGCAGTGTCCTGTAAGCGCTAGGAGGCAAGGTCAGGCAGGACAGCTGGGAGAGTGACAGGGAAAGAGCACACGTGTCCCGCCAGCAAGCCCTGGGGATGTCCAAGGTGGCTCCTTTCACAGCGTCTCTCTCGCCACACTGAGCAGAGCTCTTTCCTCTGCTGAGATTTTGCATGGTTGCACCCAGTTTTTGCTAGCGTATCCTTGGAAACCCAATTACCGGCTACACTTGCCCAAATATCCTCCTTAGCACAGGAAATTATTTCCTATGGGACAACCAGATGCGTATTTGAAAGATGACAGCCCAACCTTATTCTCAGTAGATTTCAAAGTAAAGAGGCTTTTTCTTACCACAAGCTGTGTGCAGACAGTGAGGTGAGAGGGTTAGGAGACAGCGCGACTGGGACCCCTGCTCTCAGCAAATGGACAGGATGAGGAGAGCCGGGCAGCAGGTGGACGGCTGTGGAGGAAGCGGCTGGCTGAACGGGAGGACATGCCCATCGCCTCCTGCTTTTGGTATACAATATATGAAAGAGGCCAGTACAGGAAAACTGGGTCAAATTTAAAAAATGAATAATTTCCATGTTTTAGATATTTCTATGAAGGCAAATACAAATGATTCATCATATTCCGTTTTCTCAATATTTCCTTTTGAATTAAAAACAGAAATTTAAGCCAGGAATGGTAGCATACGTCTGTAATCCCAGCACTTGAGAGGCTGAGGCAGGAGGATCATTGCCAGTTCAAGGCCAGCCTGGGCCTCAAAGTGAGCTCAAGGTCAGCCTGAACTGCACAGCAAGACCCTGCCTCAAAAAGACAAAGACATAAATAAATAAATAAATATATAAGATAAAAAGGGAAATGTGGAAAATGCTTTTTATGACTATACTGAAAGCACATCTACCTGTGGATAAAATAACGAATAAAAAGAGAAGGGAAACTTCAGAGGGAATGGAACATACACAGGCATCTGGGTGAGCTGTCACCGCTGTAACTTTTGCCTTTCCACATTAATGTCTCGAACCATCTGCATAGCCTCACTGTTCTAAGGGAACACTGTTAGTGTACTCGTCCCTGTGGGAATACACTGTGTTTATCAAACAAGAAAAGAACAGGAGAGAAGCGTTTCAGCCAGCCTCAGCACAGGCTCCTGTCCCCCAGCCCCCAGCACAGCCACCCCTTTCTGTGCACCCCGTGGCTATGGTGGGCTCTGAGAACCCACCCGGGGGGTTTGCAGCTGCTTAGAGGAAGCGCAGGCCTGGGAGTCTGTGAGAGCCAGAAGGGGCGCCGCCCTTCTTCACCCTGCAGCCCGCGCCTCTCTTGCATCTGGAGGGAAGAGACACCAACCGATTGCTGGCACTGAGACACTGTCAGAATAAACGCCAGGGAATTTGTGCCTGTTAGACAATTACAATGAGTATCTCTACTCCACAGTATTCATTCAGCATTCCCTAGGTAACTCTAAAATCAGCCTGGTCTTTCACACATGTGTGTATGTGCACACTGCGTAGAGCTCATATAATTACATACTATGTATATTTGAATTGAGGAAGAGAACTTTAAATTGCAATGAAGCCCGTAGTTAAGAAGTTAGCTAGGGTAGTGACGTGATAGCCCTAATCAGGCAAGTCCTAGGTTTGGGGGTGAAAGTCTAGCTCCCGTTTGAATCTTGGCCCTGCCACTCAGCACCTGCAGCCTCCCCGGAACCTCAGTTCTGAACCTGGATTTTTCTTATCTACTGAAGGGGACCATAAGCAATGTCTGTCCACTAGGAGCGAGTCGAGGAGAACTAAGTGCGTTAACAAATGAAAGCATTTCGCATTCCACCTTGGAAAAAGTAATTCCCTGTACATTATTATCACTTCCTGTACTTGTTTAAAGGAGTGTTTCTTGTGCATGGCTATTATATGACCCCATACCAGTAAAAATGAAATAAGGGGTTTGTAGTTGTCCATCTCGATAGATATGCACAGATCCTGGTAGAGAGGTGGCATTTGATAATTTTTTGTAACAGTAAAATGAAAAAAAATACTAAATATGGATACGAAAAATTTCAACAATTATTCATATTTTTGAAATAAAAAGAGATGATGACTAATAATCCTTTTGAAAACATTCCAAAATTGCAGGTAATTTTAGTATCTGGCCACATCCAGAATTTTAGTTGAAAGTACATGATTGTGCATTTCACATTTATTCTCATCTGTGAAAATTATCCAGATACAAATTTTTTTAGAATTTAGTAATGTATTGAACTGCTTTTCACGCTGTTATGAATCATAGCCTTGCTATGGTTTTCTGGTGATCTCTTCACTTTGAAAATTAAGTCCAAAACAAGCAAAAACTTTAAAACTCGTAATACCAGGCAGGAGAATCACAAGTTTAAGGCCAGTGCTGTGATTTAGAGAGATTCTGTCTCAAAATTAAGAAAAGAAAATAAAAAGGAATGGGAATGCACCTCAGTGGAAAAACATCCTGGATTTATTCCTCGGTAATTCAAAGTGAACCAAAAGTTGTGCGCTGACCATCCTGTTCTATCAATCCATAATTTTATTTTATTTGCTTCAGATGTCTATTTAATAAAACGTATCTTACAGGTAGCTTCATTGGCCACCTAAAATAACTAATAAATTGAATTTGAGATCTATATTTCATGGTTTTTTATATCAATACAATTGTCATTCTCAATGTTTATTAAATATTTTATACTAAATTATTATTTTATGAGATTTTTAACTTTATATCCTGATACTGTAAATAACTATATTTATTGTTTTCTACATTATTTTATTTATTGATATTTTTGGACCAGGGATTGAACTCACGACCTTGCACTTTCCAGGCAGGTGCTTACACCACTGAGCTAAATCCCCAGCCATTCTACATTACTTTATAAAAATTTTTCTCAAGATTTCTTTATTTGAATACATGGAGATTGTTTATTTCATTTTAGTTACCACTTAATATTGCATTGATTAAATATATCACACTATTATGATATGCATTTCTCTTGTTGACTTACTATTAGAGATGGCGTTGCTATGGAATTTCTTGAACAAGTTTCTTATGCACAGGTGAAAGAGTCTGTAGAAGTGACCTAAGCAGAAGTGTTTGACTATGTGACTTAAATTGCAGTAGATGTCATCAGTTATCCAAGAAGTATGTGTACGCAGACATACTTTCTGTCTTCAGTCCATGGGGATTGCTATTTCCTTAAATCCTTATCTATATTCTTATTGTTGTACACTCAAATGGGTTGGTAAGAAGTGAGAAAAACACTGCTTTCATTTTTAAATTTTACTCAGCTCATAGTGGAAGACGTGTGAGAAGTTACGGGCACAAGCTCAAGGGTTCTACACTTTAACTAAACAATAGTGTAGTGGGGGCCTTCAGAAATCCTAATGGTCAAGCTCATCCCAGATTAATTAAGAGAGAGACTCTCTGGACTCCGCGTGTGCATGTGTATGTGTGTGACTGTGTGTGTGTGTGTGTATCTGGTGACATAGTGTTGACTGCCTGACCTCCTTGGCCCAGAGCTCCAGCCCCCACTAATCCCGTTAGGCAGTCTGCTGGGAATTAACTGCCTTTACCTGTGGCTGATAGAAGAGTAAGGCCAGAGAGAGCAGGCCAGTCCTCGGCTGTCTGGCCATTTCTACAGGGGGGATGTCCTGGAGATTCGTCCTCAGTGGCTTTGTGAGAATGCATGGGCGAATCAGCAGCTGGGGGTTGACACTAGGCATCCAAGACGGGGCAGTACCTGCGACCAGGCGTGTAGCAGGTTAGGCTGGTCGCATATAATTTGAGGTAGAATAACAGGAAAGTGCTGGACCGGGTGCCTTTCGGAAAAGGCAGGCTCTGAAGTCCAGGACCTCCTAACAGTTTGGGTTACAAGGTTCTCACACCCATCAGAGAGCATTATTAAAGAATGACATGTGAGCTTAGGCCAAAATCTCAATAGAGCAGAGGGTCAGGGAAAGTTTGACCAGGCCGTGGCCACGTGGACACCACATTATAGCAGACTGCAGGAGTTTCCACACCTAACCACTGTGAGTGCCAGTTGAAGGTGTTTCTGCTAGACTCAGTTAGGACAGGGCTTTAACATAATGTTTTGTACCAGGGATCGAACCTATGACCTCATGCTTGTTAGGCAGGTGCCTGTGCTGCTAAGCTAAATCCCCACCCCCTGAACATAATTTTTTAAATGTGTTGAATATACAGTTCTATCTGTCCAGAGGGAATGAATGGAAGAGTCAAGGATTAGCTCAAATGCTCCAAGTTTTAATGAATGAGGAGAGACTTTATTTTTTTCATAAATTATAACAAATAATTGGCACGAAACAGTAATGTATATTTAATTAAAATTGTTTCATGACTACATTGCTTGTCATACTTTAGCAGAGTGTCAGAATATACTTTAAATATTAGATAAATGTTTATGAGATTTCAACTAAAGTAATAGGCATCATGGTTCTCTCAGTGAGTGCAGCCCTTCCAATTTAAAACATAAAGAATGATCATAAGTTTTGCTGGCATGATTAGACATAGAACTATTGGAAAGTTAAAGACCAAATTTCATTTGTGGAGCAAGAAGATATTGACATTACCATTGAGTACTTGTAATTGCCTACATTCAGGAAGAGTAAGATTTCTAAAATTATAGTATCGTTAGAAGGGTTACAGAGATTTCTTTAAAAACACTCACTAGAGCAAACAAAAGGTTTCCAACATAGCTTTAAATCATCACATGCATTCAGTTTACAAAGGGATGCATGATGTGAGGTCGATGAGATGTCCAGGGCAATGACTCAGAGCGAGGCATCTTGCAAAGTTTGTGTGTCTTTCACTTTGACTATGAAGTCAGCAGGGAAGGCGAACCATCAAAATAACTCTTTATTTTCTTCCAATTCAGTGCTGAGTACAAGAGAAGGACTAAGTATGTTCAGAAAAGTCTTAATCCTGAGTGGAATCAAACAGTCATTTATAAAAGTATTTCCATGGAGCAGGTATGTAATGGTTACTGCCTAACACGAGGACAGTGGTGGCAAAATTATTCAGAGATGGGGACCCATGTCCATTTCGCTGGACAAATGCATGCAGCAAACGTAGCCCAAAAAAGGGATGATGTGCTGCCCAAATACAGGATGGAAGTAAACGTGCACCTTTTGACAAAACAAGCAAAACAGTTAACAAATACATAAAATAAGAAACCTAGTGAAATAGTTCCCATTGCGTATTCCACAATTCAAAAGTTTCAGTAATATGTGTTATATTTTTTACTGGAGAGGAAATTACTTCAGATGGTTATATTTTGACCTTCATAAATAGTATAAAGAAAAAAGGAAAATCCAGTGCTCAGTACCAAGTCATTGCATCACACTGTACATTAGGAGTCTGTCCTTCTGCAAAGCGCAGCCTCCACGGAGAGGGCAGGACCGCAACCAGCATCATAAGTGGTCACCACTGCAGGAGAGTCCAGGCACAGCACCGCCAGGCGCTTCTGAAAATCTGCATTGGATAAAGTCTCATGATGTCCTTTCCCATTTTTATTACCCTGTTTTGTTTTCTTTTAATCTCTTTAAAATAAAAAAGTTTTTAAAAATCAATAGCAGAAAATCACTGATAGTTTATAAAATTAAACTCAGCGATAACACAAATCTGCATCACACACAAAAGAGGTCATCCTTATGAAATGATTAATGGCCTTTCAAAGTGAGATGCGTATTTTGTACTCTAAAGATTTATTTGGTTATATAGTAGAAGCTGGATATGAACTGTAATCTGTGTCTTTAATTTAAAATACACTCACCTGCAGGAATAAGATGAAGATACTATCTTTTCTTTTGGACATCACTGAAACGAAAGCTAGAATCTAAATACTTTAATAATCATAGGTATCGCATAATCTATGAGCTTTTTATACTTGAAGATTATCTATAGATTTGTTTTTTTATTTTTAAAAATGGTTGGGTGGGGAAGAATAAAGAAATAAAAATAAGTGTTACCATTTTGTTCCCAAAACAAGCAAGTCTAAGGACTAAACACTACATGGGCTGAAAAATAATGAGTGACATTTTTGCACAGTATTTTATGAGTCTGCAAGTATTTTATGAATGTACATAAGTTTCATGAATCTACATAGTTTAATTTGTTTTACATTAATGAAAGGATTCAGGGTGAAGATAGATTAGCCAAGTATAATGTGGCGATGAAAAATTAGGGTAGAAATGGGGGTAATGCTGCTTGTATTTGAACTGCAGCTCAAAAAGAAGACCCTGGAGGTGACCGTCTGGGATTATGACAGATTTTCTTCCAATGACTTCCTTGGGGAGGTGAGTCTCATTTCCTTCTCTGCTTTAGCTGCGTGATAAACCATGCAGGAATGTGCCATGCGGAGCGTGTTTCCTAAGTGTGTAAACAGCCATCGCGGAGTGCACCTCCCCCAGGTGGAAGCTGGCTCCCGAGTCCTCTCGCAATGGATGGACAGCGCTTGGTGTTCTCTGGGCCACTTCATACACGGCATGGTGAACTTGCAAGATTCGATGTAATTGTCTCCCTGGGCAGACACATAAGCCTGCTGTGAGACTAAAAGAGTTTTGCAGCACCGTATTTATGTTATAAAATGAGCTGGAGCTTTATAAATACAATTTCAGCCTCCTTGCTGTGCTCCTGGAGCCAGCTAGACTGTTATTTATGAGGAAGCAGCCAGGTCTCAGCAGTGCAGGACGCCCCATCACTGATGTCCCACTAAGGAGAAGAGTGCCCTCGGTGACTCGGACGATGCTTTCCCCTCCTCAGTGGTCGGAACTCGGTTTCTAATGGAGTTTGGTTTGTTTGTCTGCTTTTTTAATACTGGGGATCAAACTCATGACCTCACTTGTGCTGCTGAGCAAAGTCCTCGGCTCCATTTCTAACGTTAGAGCGCAGTTTTAAAGGGGAGAAATACATTACTAATTGCAAATGGCCCGTTCTTTCCCTTTTCCATTTGTCATGTGTTTTCAGATGTGGTTAGCCAATGTTAGAAACTGAGGTAACCAAAAAACGTTTTTAATGAAAAGATTGACTTGTATCCCTACTAATTTACATAATTTCCAAATGATTTAGTGACCAGTCAAAGTGCATCTGACTATGCACTTTAACCTCGCATTTACTACGCATCCAATATACGCGACACTGTTCCCAGTATCATGAGTGCAGAACAATGAAACAACAGCAGCGAGGAGCCAGCGTCCTCCTCCTGAGAGGCTGTCCTGAGCCATTCGGTCTACATCCTTCAGAAACTTTGGGCCACGGAAGCAGTAAGGAGATTCAGCCTCCCACCCCACGCCCATTTCATTGGTTGGTGCACTTTCTTTCAGGTGCTGATTGACTTATCGAGCACCTCACACCTGGATAACACTCCCAGGTGGTATCCGCTCAAGGAACAGACCGAGAGCATTGAGCACGGCAAGGCTCACTCTGGGCAGGGCAGCCAGCCGTCCCCAAAGCCGTCGGTCATCAAGAGCAGAAGCCACGGCATCTTCCCCGACCCCGCCAAGGGTAGGAGACGTTCCAGCTAGGCAGAGCTGTGGGTCTGTGTGTGTGTGTGTCTGTCTCTGTCTGTCTGTCTGTCTGTCTCTGTCCCCTAGGTCCTTGCTCGGACGTGAGGGCCTCGGTGCTGACCGTGTGTCGGGTTGGACCCCTCTAGGGCTCGGGCCCAGCGCGCAGAGCGGGGTAGGGGTGGTGCCGCTGTGGTCGGACCCGCGCCCTCGCGGCTGTGTTTCTGGCGTCTCAGCCCCGGCGTGGCAGGGGTCCGTCTGTGAACTGCGGGGTCTTCCCGTTCCTCAGACCTCCTGGCGGCGCGATCAGAGAAAGAGGCCCGGGGCGGCCCACGCGGCACAGTCCGGTCCAGCACGGCGCCGCCAGCGCCCTGGGGTCAGCGTTCCTGCCAGTCGCTCGGGTCTCTAACTTTCCCCGAGCTATGCGCTGTGGCTTAGTGTCCTGGTGTCAGCCCGCGGTGCAAGGTGCCTGCGCGGGTCCCCGGGAGCTGTCCCCGGAGGTTTGTTACCCCACGGACCTGGTGCAGCTGGGCAGCGACCCCCGGTGGTGAACCCGGTGCGCGCGGAGCGATGGTGAGCGGCGAGGCGGAGGCGCGCGCCCCGAGGACAGGGCTGCAGGGGGCGCCCTCTGCGCCTGTGGCTTCTCTGTGTGTGTGTCTGTCTCTCCTCTCTCTGTTTCCTGTTTCTTCTCTCCTCTCTCTGTCTCTCCATTCTGTCTCCATCTGTCTGTCTCTCTCTCCTCTCTCTGTCTCTGTTTCCTGTTTCTTCTCTCCTTTCTCTGTCTCTCCATTCTGTCTCCATCTGTCTGTCTCTCTCTGTCTCTGTCTCTCTGTCTCGGACTCTCTCCTCCCTCTTCTCTCCTTCTCTGTCTCTTGGAGAGGGGAAACTGAGGCCCTGCAGTGAGGCTGCGAGGCCCCGGAGCGCTTCGTGTGCGCCCAGCGCTGCCTGGGAGCCGCGGGGGACACTCTCAGTCTGCGCCCCGGGCCCCGGCCCTCCCTCCTGACTCTGCCCCACCCTTTCGCAGCGGACATGCAGGTTCCCACCATGGAGAAGTCGCACAGCAGCCCCGGCAGCTCCAAGTCGTCGTCCGAAGGCCACCTGCGCTCGCACGGCCCGTCGCGCAGCCAGAGCCGCGGCAGCGTCACCCAGGCGCACCTGGAGGACGCGGGCGCCGCCATCGCCGCCGCCGAGGCCGCCGTGCACCAGCGCCTGCCGCCAAGTAAAAGACGCAAGTGACCGGCCTGGCTGGCCCGCGCCCGCTTCTGCCCGCGCCCGCCCCCGTCCTGTCCCTGTCTGCGTGAGAGCAGTGCCCGCATACATGCGCTGTCTGTTTTGTTTTCTTTTCCTTTTCGTTGGTTTGTTTCTTTGTTTTTCTTTCTATTTTTTTAATTCACGTGTACTGCAGTAAAACTGGCTGTTTCTCCTTTGTGTCCTCCTGCATCCAGTCGGCTCACCGTTCCAGGAGCCCTGTCTGTGATGTGCGCAGGCCAAGCAGTGTTGTGCGTCCTTTTGTGTGCACCTCAGTACCCCGTAGAACACAGAAATTATAAGCACAAGGGGCTGCCGATTTTCCAGGCCTTGCACCAAAAAAAGCACACACACACACACACACACACACACACGTGCACACACGTATACTGGGATCAGATCAGCACCGAGGTCCTTACACCTGAAATCACTCAAAAAATTTCACGTAGAGCAGCGGTCAGGTCCTACAACTTAAGGGAAAAAGTATTTCAATCTAATGCTTAAGACCGTGTGAGAGGCTGTCGCTTTCCACGCGCAAACCCTCCTAGTCCTTTGAGACTGTTGTAAGAAAATGATATTTCATATGCAGTGGTACCTTGGTTCATGAGCTTAATTTTTTCCACAATTTTGTTTATGCGGGAAAGATTCTTGCAGTCCTCTTCATGATGCAGAGTTTGCCAGCAAAACCAGAGTTCTGCCAAATGCTTCTATTTGCAAACCGAATTGTTCACAAACAAAATTGTCCATGAACAGAGGTACCACTATCTTCTTCTAAAATCCAGATTAATAATCTATGAATAGGTCTACACGATGAAGCAGTATAGCTTCACCAAGGAGCACAATTAGGTCTGTCTCTAGGCACAAGCTTTGTGTATGATCACAGAGAATTTAGGGCTTATTTTTTCCCCAACCACTGAAATCCTTTACAATCTGAGATGTGCTATGTCTAGTAGCTGTCGATCCATTAAAGTATACAATCACCCGTGCTAGCTGCTGACTTTTGTTGTGAGCAGTTGAGTCAACCAATAATTCCATCACTGCCCAAGTGCGAACAGTTCCTGTGCACTGTTACTGCTCAGGGGCCTCAGCCAGGCAATGGAGATCGCTGGCTCCCTGCCCCCGTGCCCCATTGTCTTTCTAAAGAAACAGCCAGTTTTAACCACCTTTAGTGCTGTGCATGTGGTGTCCTTTTGGCATTTGAAAACACACCCTAAGCAGAGCAAAAGAACACTTCCGTTTGCATGCAGCACATGAAGCTGGTTCCGTCCGAGGGTACATACTCTGGGTTTCCATTTCACCCACACTGCCACAGCAGCACATAACAGCGCTCAGTGTAATCATGCCAGGAAGCAGCACAGACATAGCATAGCAGGAGTCCTCCCCATTCCGAGAACTCAGTCTGACCATCTGCCTCCACCAGCCAATGGTAACCAAGACCAAAGCCAGCTAGCCCTCAGGAAGGCGATGGCCGATGGACCAGCCCAGCCAGAAGGAGGTGAGCAGAAAGGCCGTGCTCAACGCGCACAGCGAGAGTACCCCTACCCCATCCCTGTTGAAAGCTCCCATCTTTGATTTTTAGAGATTGTCTGATGGAAGTGTCTCTCCCCTCTTTAATGTGCTTCTGTGGGCATGGCATCTTAGGACGTCATTGTCACCGTGTAGTCTCAAGATCAGTCTCGTAATCAGCGGACCACAGTGACTTGTATTTTTCTATGCACTGGGCATCTTTTGATTTTCGTTGGGAAATAGATTAACAGTATTCACACTGCAAAATGGAATGCATGCTACTCAATCTGTTCAAGCATGACTATCAATATAAACATGTTGCCTTGTGATAAAAGTTTCAATTGCCACAATTCCACTTAGCCTACCAGTTGGAATGTAGATCAGGGTTCTTTGTTGCTTATGATTTGAAGTGTAACTTTTGAAAATCCTTAGAGCAAAGTAAAGGCAAAATTGTTAATGCCCCGATTCACCTCTCCATGGTGAGAGTTCTCTCTTGATCTACATGCAGACGTGTTCCATTCGTGTCTCCATAGTTGTTTTGGTGTACCAGATGTGTTGGGCATGTGACTATCCAAGTGCCTGTGTACTAAATAAAGTATCTTTATTTCATTCATAAACTCCTGGGTTCTGAGCCATTGTTATATGCTGCAGCATAAAATGAGTGTGTCTGTTTTTGTTTTTCATTGGAGTCCCTGCAGTACAGTTACTGCCCCATTGCTAGTGACAGTTGTGATGACAGAAACACTTGGGAGCACAAAAGAATCCCATGTGGAAAATGTTACAAGTAGAGGAAGGAGCCTTACCTCTGAAAGCACTGGCGCTCCACGCAAACCTAAACCCCGGCAGCCTTCGGCTGTGCCAGGCAGAGCTGCCAGTTTCTCTTCCTCCTGTCTGGTTCTCCCTAACAGCCTTCTCAGGCTCCTGGACAGACCCAGATGAATCTCAGGTCCTTTGCCTTGGAGAAACTGCTAACTTGGAAAGCAAGCTTCAACCTGCCTGTTACCTCATCCCAGCAAATAGAATTTTCTCCAAGAAAGAATGCCACTCCCAGTGATGGGAACCCAAACAGAGTGATAGGAAGTTATCTTCAAGTGGGATTCAAAACCTGTTTTTTAGAAAAAGATTTTTTAATTGGATAGCACTGTTATTCCTCTAACATACCTTCCAGCCCTAAAATACTCAATTATATTATTCTAGATTTGCCACAAAATTAAAGTCAAGCCTGTGCTCTCCTCTTGCATTTCTCTTCATTCTCAGGAAATTAAAAACCTTTACTGTTTTCTTCTCCCAGTGAATCAGGCATTTGGGTTCAGTAGGTGCAGGTGACAGCACAGAGGCAGGCCACTGAAACATGGCCTACTTTAACGTTAGTTGTCTTTAGGGAAATAATTATCTGAAACATTAGAATTATTCTGAATATGTGTTTTCTCAGCTCAGTTAATAGATTAGCATCAGAACAAAATTTCTCTTTTCCTTTTTATTTTCTTATTTTATTTTCTAATTACTTATATTTTAAAATTTTTTTTTCTGCTGGTCTTATTTTCTAAAATTCTACCTCTCACCTTTTTTTCCATCAAATAAACTCATTTGATGTCTTCATGTTGCTCATTTTCCTCCTTGAGATGTTGCCTTTATCGTAAGTGTTGCAGTACTCCAGCCCTCCTTAGTCCATGCCTTAAGCATTGTACTTTGGGTATGACCACATAACAATTTTGTAAGTTTTTCTAGCCTAGATGTGATTCTTAAAATATGTACAAAAATGTTTCAGTCTCTTTTCTTTGAATAATGCTCAAATAGATATTCCTTTCATTTAACATGCTAGGTGAACTAGAAGGGTCTCTGTTGAAATCACAAAGGGGAAACCAGATAGCATACCATGCCTTCTTATTTAATGTTGTCCGAATTTGATGATAAATAAAATACCCCATTTTCTAAAATCTAAAGATATTATTTCTCTGCTAGTCTAAGTATTCTGATAATATAATTGAACTGTGCATTTTTCCATATACCTAAGTGGCAAATATACCATAATCTGAAACCTGTATAAAGTTCAGCATAATCTGTTTAAAGCTGGAGAGAAAAACTGACCAGAGATGTAAACCCACAGTCAGCAAGTTCCTCTTCCCTGGTTCACTTCCTGCGGAAATATCTGAGATAATTTTCCACGTTGGGATACAGTGCTTTGGTCCATCCTCTCAGAGGAGCTCATTTCATGGCATCTGCATTCTGAAATTAATATTCTGCCTCTGAATGGTGCGTCATGTTTGGCAGAGCATTTTGTCACCTAGGTCTCATTCTGTCACACCAAAGGGGTGAGCTGGTCATTCAGTTATCCAACCCTGGATGGAAGTGATCAGTCAGAGGACCAGAAGTGCATGGCGGCCAATGCAAGAACTCACAGCAGGAAGTGTCCAGAGCCAGCAGCTGGGGCCCTTGTCGGTCACTCTGAGACCTAGTTATACACAGGCTCTTCTGAAATCAGACCTTCTGGTTTCAGAAAAAGCAATTGTCTTTCATTTTTAATAGATCACTAAAATTCTTACAGATTATTAGAGGTAGCTAGAAATGATGACGAAAACAATTTATGCTTTACCCATGCGAACCTCTGCTCCAAGGGCAGGAACCCTCCATCCTGCAAACCGAGCAGGCAGCAGCAGGTGGGTCAGGGAGGGCAGTGCGGCTGCCTCTAGAGGCCTTGCCATCAAGGGTGGCAAATCATCGCTGAAACACTCATGGTTTTTCTTTGTTAGCTCCTCAGCAGATTTCTGCTTGAACTAGCATCATATATGGGTCAGGCCAGAATTACAGCATGAGTCACAAGGAACTTTTTCTCTGCCTCTGGGGTTTAGTTTAGCTAGGAAATCAGAAGGGAAAGATTAGACAGAGCTGCAAGTCGTCCCAAGGCCTGCTCAACACTGTCTGTGTTTAAAATTCCCTTGTCCAAGCCCCTGGGTTCGGGTGAACTTGGGAAGGACCCACTGTTACAGATATCAACCTTTAGAGAACCTTTAGAGAATAGTTGTAATTTTACTTTTCTTTTGTTTTAATTTTTGTATTTATTTATTTAGGAAAACCATAATAACCAAAGGACAAGTTATTAAAACCTTAAAGATTAGTAAAACTGGCATCTAATGAATCACATTTTAAGTGATTTGAAAATTCCTGTGTTTTGACACTAAGATTTGAGATATGAGTTTTAAAGGTGGTAACATCTGGACAGTAAAGGAGCACTGCTGGGAGGGTGGGAGAGGTTACCCAAGAACATGAATGGTTAAATGATTTGGGGGGTGGATTATGAAGGTCAGCTCCCCGGAGAGGCTGAATTGTAAGAAAAAAGCCTGACGCCACTTACACCGTCCACTGCTGGAGAATCCACTTGGGACCAAGGTGGCTTGCTGCCCTGTCAAAAGTTACTTTGCCTGTGTTGCCGGGGTGAACTCAGCTCAGCAGCTCAGGGAAAGATGCCGGCCTGGGCGAGAGGCAGGGGTGGCCTGACTGGGGACAGAGGCTCTTGGGTGAGGGAACTCTGGTTTCCAAAAGGTCAGAACTGACGATGTGATGTCTCGTGTTCTTCTGACCCTAAGGCGATGGGCACTTTGGGTCAGAAGAAACTGAGACTTCTCTATTCTTGGAAAAGATAGATGTATGCACGAGCTTAACAAAAAGAGATCAAAGATCCCACATGCCTCATGTCAGTGTGTTCATGCAAAAGTGGAAGTTAAAACATTTAAAAGTTAATACTCTCAGCAGTTCAAAATAGAAAGGAAGTTGAAACTATAAACATCTGACAAAATCTGAGAAAATCAATTTGAATAATTTTCATCCTTCAAAATTCTATTCCCATACTCCAGGGACGAGGGCTCTCTTTCGGGCTCTTTCTTTGTTGCCTGTGAAATCTAAATGTTTCTCCAGGGTTTCCATACCTTCTTAGAATGACTGCATATTCATTTCCAAATATTTCCTTAGTTGTTTGAATTTATTGCTGGAAATAGCTGCTATCCACGTAGAGTCACAGATACTTCATGCCTCTGCTCGTGATTCTCTCCTGTTTACGACCTTCATTCTTCGCCTGCCACCAGTGGCTTCTTTTGTTCTTTCCCAGTCAGAGCCATGGACCTCTGCCTCGCCAGCCGCATACTTTGATCTGGTCCACAGCAGGCATTTTTATGTTCATTTCCTGAGACTTGAATAGTAAGACCAGCTGGGCCTTCTAAATATCAAACCTGGCTTCCACCGTGCCCTAACTTAGGCGAGTGATCCTTGGGCCTGTGTGATGAAGATTGGAATATTAATATCCGATCTAACAAGAAGAGACAACATACCAAGTCTTTTAAATGCTACTTAGGATGTATCTCTAATAAGAACCTTCTTTTTAGGTGCAAATAATTTTACCTAGAGCTTGAGAAAATTATTTTTAAGAGAGGGAAAAATTATTTTTAAAATGCTAGTTTATGGAATTAGCACCAGGGATCAGGACTGAGGAAGTGAGACCCGTGAGTCGATGGAGGAGGAAGCCCATGGGAGACGCAGGGCGCCATGGCACAGCGGGGAGCAGTGTGGGCAGGTGGCTCCCCATCAGGTCAGAGCGAGCGCAGAGGCAGGGCGGGCAGCACAGCTTTGGCTGCTCCGCAAGGTCGCCGTCCTCTGGCTCCAACTGTCTGTGAGTGCTTCTTGTTTTCTGCTTTTTGTCCCCATGGGTCACACACGTTCTGTGAAACGAGGACATCTCACCCCTTGTCCGTGACGCAGGTGACCAAGGCAGAGTCGTGCAGGTGTAACTGGGATGGAGCGAACCTCCACGGCGCTGAGCTGTGCTGTGAAGATGTGATGTTTTATTACTAGTGCTGGGTGTGCAAATGTGTAAGCAATCACCAAGAAGCCAAGAATACTTAGGGATTTTAAAACAAAACATTCTAAATCAGAAAGAGGGTTTTGATTCAGAAGTGGAGTGCTTTAGACGTGTGTGCAGAAAGGACAGCTATAATCACA